CCCACTACTTGTGGTCTAAACGTAAGAATATAAAAATATAACTAAACTCTAACTTGACTTTGAAATAATAAACGTGGAAGATTGGCCTTATATTAACAGCAAGCCGTATGTAGTACAGAGAACTGTTAACACTACAATACGTTTAAAATTATCAAGAGGATTAAACCTCTGGCCTGGAAGGCGACCAGCAACTGAGTAAAACTTCTAAGGCAAGCGGCCTGCTTCGTCTAACTCCTTCCTCTCTCTCGCTTGGCAAAAAGCCACAACTTAAGTACTTGGCGTTCGCCAGACAAATTTTGCATAAATAAGTTAACGCTTTTAATTCTGGCCGGAAGTAGAAAATAAGAAGTGATAGTAAAGATTTGAAATAAAATAAACGTTAGTAAAACTTAAGATCTTTACAACTTTGCTGACGTCATCCTTACTCCATCTATTCTCACCTCCTTGAGTGTATTTTCCCTTGACTGTCAATTTCAGAGGTTAGCTTAATATGAAGGAAACTCCGAATGATAAATGTTTAATTATCTAATTAGAAGCTAGGACTTGTTAAGAAAAACTATAGAATATTTATTATCAGCACAATGCAATTATTCGAACGGTCTACTTTATAAATCAAACAGGAAATCAGGTGTATACACATTACTCTATTATAAAGTAGTACTATAATATGTTTTTTAATAAGAAAAGTGAACAATGTGACAGTAAATACTAAAAAATAAAACAAAAGGAATTATGTAATTGTAAAAATATCAATCGAGGCAAAAAAAAGTAAGTATTGCGTTGTTATGTTAATGCATTGTTGATGGTCCTGTTGAGGGAACAATCACGTGTTTCTTTAAGAACAGGAAATAGAGGAAAGTAAAAACGACTATTACAATAATAGACCGGGCTCATTTCATTCAAACCTAAATTTTTAGAAACACCTATGAAATGTTTACGTGACAAGAATTAATCTGAGTCAGTTCTACTTCTAAACAAATAATAAATTCGAAGTGTGTCCTCGTAGAATGAAAATATTTTTAAAGTGTAAGAACTTATTTTAAAATTTTTCATTGATAAGTAAAAAATATAACTAATAAATACTGATGCCTTTAAATACTGTAAATTTAAAAGTGGTAAAAGATGGCGTATATTGTTTCGAAATTGCACAGTGCCACACTGGAACGCGTTATACATTAGCTACCCAGTTATCTAAACTCTTATTAATCCGAAATTAGGTAAGTCTCGAACGATTCTGATAGCGAATACTTTTTATTGCAGCTGTAATCGTTACCAAGATCTTATACTTTTGAAAAGATCCGTTGCACAGCAGATGCAGGAGGTTAAAATAGTTTGAAATACGATACATTGCAGTTTTTGTTTTAGCTTACAACTGTTAAATGTTGTTCCATAAAACTAGATTGATTTTCATATAATATTGCTTAATTTTGAATAGATAGTAAGTTCAACAACTATAATCGACCCACAGAAATACACTCTATCCACTTACAATAAGATGTTAAGAAGAAATTAGTTTGTGAAAAGAATGGAAGTTTAGAAGCCAGCATGTATGTGGATATGCTGAAATTATTTTACTTCACGCAAATTATAGGGCATACAAGAAACTGGCTGCATCCTCTTCCAATAAGATAGAGATCACCCGCCCTTTTCAGCAAGTATACAAAATATATTAAAAATTCGCTTTGTCCAAAAATAAACATCCTCGGCATCCGCGAAACTAAAACCTGATTCCATTGTGCTTTTTCTTCTCAGGTCATGTTAGAACACATTTATAATAAAAAGAATTAAAATTCATCTTAAGTAATGATCGCAGTAATTGAAGTCTTAACTCCGGATGTTCTTGTTTGGTTGCAGACCAACATAAATCATCCCAATTCGTGGCTCCCATAATAATTTGGAAGAATGACACAAATATATATAATAAATCATTGTATAGGGTGATTCTAAATTGTTTTTGCAAATTAAGAGGGGTGATAGTACCCATCCAGGCGAGCATAATTACCATACAACATAGGGTCGCATTCCACTATGGGAGGCAGAAAAGAGGAATATTAGAATTCCGACCTGAACTTAAATAGTGATGGGAAAGCGAATGAACAATACCAAAGGTTACGCAATCAAATTTATTGTTGAAAAACTCACAGAAAGTGCTCAAAATGCCGACAACTCGCTCTTCCATTCTGGCGTTCGTACATTTTCGCGAACGTCCTGCATTGCTTTTTAAGATGGCAAAAGAACTGGTTCCTCGCATTCTCCGATGAACACTGGAAAAAGTTGGATGACTTGGAATCTGACAAGTGGAAACAACTGTTAGTACAATCTTCATGCTTCCGCGTCCATTCTCTTTTGCTTCACCGTATGTGTGGCGAATATCTGGCAATTCCTCGTTACATGTACTCCGCCATAGCATTCACGAAAAGTTTCGGACGATGTTTTTAAAATAATACTTGAAGCGATGAGGCTGTTCCGCTTTCAAGGACACCGTTTGCTCTGATTGGTTTTCTCTGGTACCAATTAAGAGCAAAATGCTGCTTCTTCACAGTATAAATTTGCATACGGTTAATTCTTGATAGTCCTTTAGGAGATAGTCTCCTTATTCTTCCTCGATGCGTTTCTGCTTTTCTATTTCCGCCTCTCAGAGTAGAATGCGATCCTATGTTCTATGGTAATTTATTGCTCGTCTGGATGGGTACTATCACCCCTCTTAATTCGCAAAAACAATTTAGAATCACCCTGTATATACATAAACAATGTAATACGATAAGATATTTTTACTTGCGTAATGCAATAATCTTACTCTCATTTTTCAGATTTGCTACATAAATATTTTTACTTCCAAAGGCAAAAATTATTTTTACATTTGCAGGAATTCAGGCTTTGTCTAATAGTTATTTTGAAAGAACAGTAAGTTTAAAGTAATCGCTTAAAATGTAATGAAACTGTTTCAGAGACAAAAATCAATCTGAATACCAATTAATCGTACAGTAGATTTTATAAATAATTTTTACGTGATATCCTTTTGTTAGCAGGAACATGCGCAACATTCTCTAATACCTTAACTTTATACTCTTTACTTCATAACTTAAATAATCAAACATGAAAAAAATAATTTGAAGTTTTAACAGAATTTTTCTTACCGCAATCAGTTTAAAATACTACGATATTTACTTCATGTTCAAATTATAAAGCATTATCTCCATGGCTTCTGATACTTTACTGTAACAAATGTAGCTCCAAATGTTCGTAGAAAACTTCCGACAGAAATATTCAACGCATAAGCAATTCCCGTATTCAAAATAAATATTTTATGAAGGAAAAAACTCTCAGCTTCGAGGAAACAAAATGCATCTATGAATGTGCTGTATCAGTCACAGTATAAACGCATCCCTTTATGCTACAAAAAATACATTGTGTCATAAAATGCATGATTTCTCAGTAAAATAAAACTTGAAGACGACAAAATGTACAGAAAAATATATTACCAATAAAAGGAACTTCCTTTCCCATTTCTATATTACTCTTCCAACCTTTCATGCCTGTATACGGAACGTTTGGGATGTAGTAATATGATTTGATTAAACTTTCCATTTTAAAAGAAATATTGATCTAATTTTTGTAAAGACGATGATTTAACAGCGTACAACAGTAGTTTTGGGTAGTATTTTTTTCTGACAGTGGCGGTGATTAACTGAACATCCGTAATCTTACTACAGTGCGATTTTGAACTATCAATATTATTTCAAATATTTTATCAACGCTGAAATGTTAATATGACGTTTGAGCTCCACAGGATGTATGGTTAGAGTGTTCTGCAGATTTTTTTATTATTAGAACAACAAGTATCGCATCATCAAGATGTACCAATCTATTTCTCTATTCAGATTTCATTATTTTTACTTTAGAATAAGACTTATTCTCCAAGTATCACAATGAAATAAGAAATAAATGCTTTGTCGCCCAATTTATAATCGTGGCACATATATCGCGTGAAAATCTAGGATAATGATACAGGAGTAATGAAAAGAAATTTATTTTTTCGGGTTGAGTATTCAACTTGAAAAATTTAGCTCTATGTTAAGTATTTCTTTTATGTTGACTATTTGAAATTACTCTTTTTATTATTAGAGTACTCGTGTCAAGTGTAAAACATGTTTTTCTGCGACACAATACACCTTCTAAGTTTCACGATACAATAACCGACTAACTCTAAAGCGCAGAATTACTTAGAAGCAGGATTAACTTTAGATATTAAAAATATTTGTTTTTAAAATTGTTTTTATTTGATATACTCGTAAGCAGGTCACATAGTCCTTTAGTAAAGAATTCTGCTTTCTTTACATTTTAAGTGGTATTTAATATTTAATTTCAAGAGATTTCTATAGCCTGTTAGATAATTATTAAATCCTAAATAATTACTTTATTAATTTGTATATACACATACAGTATTTCCGTAGGCCAATAATGTGTACTTATATAAATTCTGTCACATTATTATTAAGGCATATAATGCAGAATAAATGCAGTACTGAGTTTAAACATTTACAGTGATTGAATGTTTTAGAAGTACCGTATTGTGTAAAATAAAAATAACATAACTTCGAAGCCCCATCTAGAAATTATTTTAATATGATGTCGATTTCATAAGAATATTCCCTGCATTTTGAAAACGAATACGAGGAAACTCTATTCCCTGAGAAGTAAAAATACTGTACGCAGGACGAGGTTTTGTTTAATTAATACTCTAGCCTTAAATTTCAAAGAAATATTTTTAATATTTCAAAAGAATTAAGCGTATTCTATTTAGCTCAAAAGACGAAATATGCATTCTGTGCAGCATCGTTGGTCTCTTAAGGTCATTCCTAATCGTAATCGTACTTGATTATGTATTCAGAATTCTAGATACTGAGCTTCAAATTTCAAACTTCACATTTCATCATTACAACTGCATGCAATAAATTGGTCTTAGAGTTAATATGGCATGCAATAAAAAGTTAACTTACTCAGTTTCTTCTATTGGTTGAGAAAGGGCTAGGAAGACACAGTTTATAAGTATAGTGGTCATGACGAACAACTCGAAGTACCTGCATTAATAATACAGCACGATGAGCAGTAATTAATATCAGTGTATCATAAACTTTTGTGATGTATTTCAACGGCTGCAACTTTTGTTTCAAAAATCCGAGCTATTAGTTATTATGTCTGCTGACAGACTGAAAAGAAAGCAGCAGCCGAGGAATCATCCGAGCTAAATTGTGCCTTCGAGAAACACTTCGCTTTCTCGAAGGCCACGGTTAAATCTTCATGCTTTATAAACGCATTTTATTAATTAAACAAAGTCTCATGCGTTACCTGTGACAAGAAATTCGAATGGCAAATCTTCTCACACAAGACCACGGACTAAAGAGGAAAAGTGAATCCTCGGCTGAGTAACGGTACAGGAAGTAACTGGAAGACCGCTTGGCAATTACACAGAATGTCTGAAAGATAAATTACAATATTTAGAAACGTTTTCAGAATAACGCAATAAAATTAGGTAAATTAAAAATAATAAGATTATATACTATAGGAGGAGCAGTCACGTCCTTTAGTTCCGTTTTAACATCTGAAAGAGGAATTTACCGAACTCCGGTCGCAAAATAATTTCGAAGTCAGAAAATAGACTTCCGAAAAATACCGTGCGAAATGTGACAAATTAAGAAAATTACACTTGTGTAGGGGAAAAAAACTGAAAAATGTTTCCAAATCTGAAACTTAGCACAAATAGGTTGTTTTCAAACAAATCATATCAAAATCTTTATATGATTAACTAAATCTTTCTTTGATTTTTATTCATTTTCTATCATATAAATTTATAAAATAATAATTATATTTGTATTTATAAAGTGTATTTATTTTTCTGCATTTGGAATATGGTGCATCGTTAATTGAAGAGTTCGAAAATATAAAAGAAATGACGTAGGAAATAGATTTATTCATTGTCACATTTTTTAAAATAAATTTATTCTATTTAATAAAACCTAGAATTAAATGACTTTCAAGACTGAATACTTTGATCATCGTATACATATGCCCAATACAAAAATAGTCTTTGTGGCATGGCGTACAGTTATGTTAGTATGGGCGTTTTATTTTGTGGCTTTTTGTCTGTAAAATATGCATTTATGGTACTCATTTGTAAAGCCAAAACCTGCTTTAGAAAATGAATTCATACTAGTACATTAAGATATGACATGGATTGCTGATTTGTCGAGGGGTAATTTCGTCGTGTAAGTAATGAAATCCAATAAATGATATTGAACCTTCTGACCACTACACGTTACTACAGTATGGTAGAAGACTGACCATCTGGCTCCTGCGAGAGTCTTCATAATTTGCTCTTTTCGCTTTCTCGGAGCTGCTCCTTTGGGCTTCATTTCCATTCTTTGAATTCTTTGAATACTGTGTTATAGTTACCTATGTATATTAGGCATTACTTTTTTATACAATATTACTCTAATATTTAAGTAAAATAATAAATTATATTTTTATTTATTTACTTATTTTACTAACGTCTTGTAATCAAGAGCTGTGAATTTTTCTTTAATCTCCTTTAGCATAGTATACATATATAAACATAAAATTTTCCATCTAATGTTTTTTTTTTCAAGGTTGCAGAACAAAATATGGATCCTACCGAATAGAAGAACTCGATAGATATTTGGTATCATTTTGTCAAATTAGATTGAAAAAAAAAGGAAAATATCGGTATTGTTAGCAGACAATTTTCTTTTCTTTGGGATCATCCTCCAGTCTAAAAATTTATTTTTACACTGTGCTTTATAGCAGCAAAAAAATATCAATTATAGTAAAAAAATAATATAATGTTTAACAAAAATTAGTTTAGTTTTTTTTTTTTTTTTTTTTTTTTCTTTTTTTTTAACTTTTAGCATTTTTTATTCTAGAATTGTACTGTTGTTCTATGTAGAAAGTTTTTAAAGAAATCTCAGAAGTACAATTGAAAGTAATCGGTCTAGGAGTAAGCGATTTCGTTGAGTTGATTCCAGAGATCCCACTCCTTCTTCAATTCTTTCTACTTTTCCCTCATCTTTGGACACCGCTCTTGATCCATGCCTTTTCCGAACGCAATCATCAAGGTCATTGTTAGTGAGCGGTGAATCGTTAAAAAGAACTGATTCACTTCAGTGAGTGAACGGTTCCAAACTGATCCCTTAAAGGAGCGGTTTTGCCCATCTCTCTCTCTCCCTTGGCGGTCATTTTGCTACTTTACATCCTATTTTTTAAAACCGAGTTACCATAAATCTTGGGTACAGCATCAACGGACACATGCAAACGACTGTCTTTTATTTATTGATATAAACAGCCAGTTATATAAGGTCTCCAGATCTTTATTTAGTTCACGGTTGTTATAGTAAACATACAAGGAATTCCTGCCTTTCCCTTTACACTCTCTCGTGGTGTTCCGTGTCTCGAGTCCTGGGGGAAATATAGCTTATTTTTCATACTTTCTGTTCTAAAATGTGCCTAATACTTCTAAAGTAGCCCCCGATTAGAAATGAGGTGTTCGATGTTTCATCACTGCCTAAATTTGGTCGACTGACTCTCATTTCTCTTTCTCTAATGCCTTTTAAGTGGGGAAGAATATGCAGAATTATCGCCTTTCCCCGAAGGTGCTCTTATAATGGTGTTAGTACGGCCAACTAGCAATCGAAGACCCGTGGTTCGAATCTCGGTGAAGGTACAGCAAAATTCTAACATTTCCGGCTTCGAAAAAATATGAATAGTTTTATTTATTTACAGAGTTTGGCGCGATTTAGTAGCATAAACTAGATCTAAACTCCCAACAGATGTGGAGTGAACTATCGCAATGCCTGAAATTGGCAACTAAGTCTTGGAAAGGTTTGAAAATAACATTTTTATTAAAACATGAGTTTTGAACATAAATGCATTTCTTGTGTTAATAGGGTCAACCACCACTTGTGGCGATGTAACTAAAAAAACTGTCAAATTTAAACTAAAATGGGGCCTACCAGCGACCGAGCGGTAAAGACGCTGAACACTGGTAGTTCGGCCTGAGGTTCGAATCCCGCGAACGGGCTGGCTGCATGGGCGTTTTCGTGGTTTTCCCCATGTGTAACGTGTATACGAGCCAGTTTCCCTTAGAAAGTCCTCCACGAAAGGCATCCCTCCCTTTAGGCAGATAGCCCTCGTGTGCTTTGCCATAATTAAATACACACACACACACACACACACACACATACACATAAACTAAAATGTAAATTGGTAGTTAAAGACTACAGAATTAAATTTAAATTAAGGTTAGCTCAAAACTTTAAACAGCGTACCATTTTAAATGTCGGCAGCAAATAACACACAGCCGAATAATTACGAACTTACCAAGATGGCAGAACTGAAGTCATGTGGCCTCGAGAGGCAGAAACACGCGCAGTCTTACAATCCGAAAACCTCTGCTTAAATACTCTCTAAACTCATTTGCATTTCCGGCAAGGAAACGGAAAGGAGAAGAAATTACGGTAAAGACTGAAGTTATAAATAGCTGTTAAATGCAAAATAATAGCAACGTTATATATCACTATTTAGGTAAACATTAATAGCGAAATTAATTAGTGCGTTTAATAAGCTGCAAACTTCAGCATTTTTCAATTTTATTTTGTAATTTTGAGAGCGAGCCCAAGAGACGTTATTTATAAATTTAACTATGCTTTACTCTTGTATAATTATTTAAGTTATCTACAATTCCTTAAAGATAGCTAAAGCGTGAAATGTTTGGAAAGGTTTAAGATTAAGAAAGAAGAGTTTGTCTCTTAAAGTAATTATCTTACAAATATTGACGCCTTTAACGTGGTTTTTTAACTAATCAAAATACAGCGCATGCATCGAAATTGAATTTTTTTTTATTTTGCCCCCCCCCCCCTCAAATAAACATTCTAAAAGTATTTTTTCGCTGAACAGAAATAATATCTTGTTGATAATTTCGAATTATTTTCCACTTCGCCTTTTCTAGCTTTTCTAGATTTTCGTAGAGAATAGCAAACTTCCGCCATGCGAAGGCTATATAAATCATTGTCGTCTTGACGATTTTAAGGCTCTAAACTAAAAACCAAAAATCAGGTATTGAAATCACGTCTGTAGAATTTGTATCAACACAAAACCACACCTCTCGAAGCTTATATTTCTTACATTGAGCCAGAAAAAAAAGAATGACACGCAACAAAAGCAGAAGAATCCTCTTTTTGTGCCTAAACCTATGGAAGGAATATTTGGTCGATATCTCACTTGACGCTATTCGACAGACAGGTTCCATTTAATTGCCCATGAATGAAAATTAGTTTTCCTTTCGGGTTTCTTAAAAACCAATTGATCGATGCGATGGCGAGAGCCTAGATAGCGAAGGACTTACATTATGTTAATGAAGCTAAGATGTATAGCTTTCGACCAGTCTATTTTCGATGACGTGTAAAGGTCATAAGTGCAATCTGGAAATCAGGGTCGCACTTGAAAGAAAGGATCAATTATGTACATATATATTTAGAGGTTACCTCGTGCCCTTTAGTAACAAAAAAATGAATACGCCTTAAGAATTCTTATAATGCATATCATATGAGTGTATTCTGATTACCCTATTTCTCCTAGGAAACTAAATTATGGTCCAATAGTTTTTAACCTTGGACTTTATTAAACACAATAGATCTCCAGTTATCCGGACTCCAGATTACTAGAACTCTAGTTGCCTGAATCGTTTGTTCTTTCTAAACCTAGTAAATTTATTTACGTGTTTATAATTCCTTTTATTTAAATAACAGCGAAAGTTATTACAGTAGAATGCATATATTTTAAGAAGCTCATAAACGAGTCAGATAAACGTCCACGAAATGTAGACTGGCTTATAACATTACTCTACAGTTTCTGGCAAATACGCTATGAAGAATTACCGCATTCCCCCGTGCGTGCCCAATTCCGGCCAGCAAACGGAAGATCTGTATTTCGAATCCCGGTAAGGGCGTAGCTGAATTTTCACGTTTCTGACTTCGAGCAGCTTAATGTCTCTACAACATAGCTTGTAAAATTTAATAGAAAGATAGTTTTTTGCAACACACTGCCTTCATAGAATATTTTTTTTATTTACACAGTGAATCATTTCTTAACTCTAACATACACTCTCTTCTTCTTTACTTTTAAAATTAGCTCAGACAAACGTGGTAAGTCAATTCCCTGCCTAAAGAATCCCTGCAAAGAATTTTCAGCTTATAATATGCAGTAAAAATCTCAGCTAGTAACTTTTTATGAGGCTTTTAGCCATCATGCTATTATTCTTATGAGTAACTTAAAATAATGCTCAGTTATTTTCTCCTTGAACGTAAATTGTAGCATTTTTAACTTATTTAATATTGCTTAATTTTTAGTAACTGTACAATCAATGTTGAAGTAAAATGCTCTAAAAGAGAATCCCTCACTTACG